GCAGACAGCAACAACAACAAGTCCAACACTCCACGAGAAGAAGTGCCCCCAATGCCTTCATCTGTCCCGGTATCTTCAGCTGCGCCAATATCGTCGCCAGCAACCGCACCCGTCACGGCATTCGAGTCTGAGTCGGCACCCGCGCCACACGTGGGCTACGGCAAGACAAAAGAGCCCGTGCACGCAGCTACAATTCCGACACAAGCACCGTCGCAGCAAACAAAAGAAAAACCGGGGTTTTTCAGGCGAGTCTTCGGCTCGTCTAGAAGCAATGCCTCCAATAACCCGCCCGAGACGCAAAATTCCACAGGCATAACGTCGTCAACATCTGTGGATTCTGTTGATCAAAGGTCCGGGAACCGATCTCTACACGTTGCCAACCAGATGAAGCCATCCGCCCCCGCCCCGCCCTCGAGGGATACATCTTCGTCCCATTCTCATCATCACGTGCTGCAAAAGAAACCGAGCTCCTTCTTTCGTCGCAGAAAGAAGTCTGTGTCCGCCGATGAGGTCCCTCCTGTGCCAGTTGCTGCCACTCTCGAACCGCCAATGCCCCCTCTGGTGGCCCCGATCCAGTTGCCCATCACCAAAGACAAGCTTTCTGCGAAACCAGAGCCCAGCCCAATCAGCAGTCTGCGCAGGGTTATGAACCCGTACCTTAAAGGCAGCCCGGTGACGCCAAATACGCCCTTGACACCCCAATCTGCTCCCGTGCAACCTGCCTACTCCGAAATGACCTCCGATCCCGCTCCAGCTTCAAACGGTGAGAGGGCCGAAGAACAACCACGATCCTTCTCCCCCGAGTACGACCCGAGTCCCAATGCACGGATAAGAGAAGTCCGCTCAGGATCTCGTGATGATGACGATGATTATCATCCAGAGCATGAGCGCCGGACCGATACGCCCACAAGACCGCCCCCGGAACCTCCCATATCGTCCGAAAAGCGAAACAACTCCTTCCTCGATATCGATGGCAGTGACAATGAGGCAGACACTGAGTCGAAGCGAGGCAAGACAAAGAAGGATAGGAGCCACAAGTCTGGCAAGACAAGCAAAGAACCCTCCCCGTCCCGGAAGGGGACTTCAGACCGAAAGGATGATACCATTAGAGGCAGGAAGAACAACAGACTCGCGGTCGCTCCAGCAGACTCGGATGATGAAGGCAATAAATCAACGCTAATCTTGCCAATGGAGGGTACTAGGTCTGCCAGCCGAGCTTCAGGGTCCACTACCACCGAGTACAAGTCTGCCATGAGCGGCACCCCTAGTGTCCGAGTCGAAACCACAGAGAATAGCCCCAAGGTCCTTGGCACATTTGAGGCTATGAGCACCAAGCCTCTGGATGAGCCCGACTTCATCGTTGGAGACCCAACAGAAGACGACCGCAAAAAGGCCCAAAAGATCTATGATGGTAACGAGGACTTCATCCAGAAGGAGAAGGCCGCTGCATGGATGGGTGAAGAAGGCCCCGTCCGGCAGAGGACTTTGCAAGCGTACATGGATCTGTATGACTTTGCCGACAAGAGCATTCTCCAGAGTCTCCGCTTGATCTGCGAACGCCTTGTCTTTAGAGCAGAGACACAGCAGGTTGATCGTATCTTGGTTGCCTTTTCCAAGCGTTGGTGTGATTGCAACACCAACCACGGATTCAAGGCATCCGGTATGTTGCTACTGTTGCCTCCAAATCATCAAGAACATAAACTAACATTATACAGACGTCATTCACACAATCTGCTACTCAATCATGCTGCTCAACACTGATTTGCACCTGGCTGACATCGAGCACAAGATGACGCGGAGTCAGTTCGTCAAGAATACCATGACTACAATCACTCAGGCGGTGATTGAGGCGGCCCCTGATGCGTTTGAGCGGCCGACCATCTTACCGGGTAAATCCAATAGCGCTCTTGGAGGCGACGATTCCAGACCGTCGATCGAAGAGCGGTTCGTTTCGCGCCGACTGTCGTTTCGACCGCCGCCGAGAAACGAGGGAGACGGGTCCGGAGACCACTGCCACGACGAATGCGGGCCCTTGGTCAAGTCACCGTTCGACGGTTCGATGCGAGCCTGGGAAAGCCAGGTCGAAGTTGTCCTCAAAGACATTTACGCCTCGATCCGCGACGAACGATTGCCTCTCTTCGGTGCCGATCCGTCCAAGAATCTGGCGCCCAACACCCAGAGCGGTCTCTCTGTTATTGGTATGCTGAAGCGAACGCCTAGCGTTCTGAGTAAGGCCCCGTCTGAGAGTCAGGCATCTATGCGTGGGCGCATAGCTGAAAATGGCCGTGCCAATTCTTCCAGATGGAATTCGAAGAGCAGGTCACGACCTCGTATGGGCAATCCGGGCTTCTCTTCGTCGCGAACGAGCTTCGAGGACGGAAATTCCATTTGGAGCCCTACAATATCATCGGCAACGTGGAGTAAGCTCTCGCTGGGCCGAACGCAAACATCGATGTCTGTGGATTCGCTCAGCTCGTCATTCCGTGGAGGCGACTATCAACAGTCCATCGGATTTGCCAACGCCCTTAGCCAGGCCGTCATCCGTGACGATGAATCCTGTCTCGGGAAGGAGCCGTCCATCATGAGTGACGAACTCAAACCCGCGCAACTCCTCGACGACGAATCGCTCGAGCTCGCCGGTCCTCCGTGGGTAAAGGAAGGCATGGTCATCCATAAGCACCATCTTGACGGCATTGAGAAGAAGGCCAAGGACCGTCACTGGAACGAGGTTTTTGCCGTCATTCAAAGAGGCCAAATGAGTATCTTTTCCTTCGGCACTAACAAGACGGGACGCAAGGGCCGCGGTCGCAATGCAACCAAGGGTCCGGCCATTGTGGGAGGCGGCAACTGGCAGGAAAATGCCACTAACCTAGGCACCTTCAGCCTCCGACAGACTTTAGCATCTACTCTGCCACCGCCTGGTTACTCGAGAGCTCGCCCTCACGTTTGGGCCCTCAGCTTGCCCACGGGCGCTGTTCACCTATTCCAAGTCGGAACCCCCGAGATTAGCAAAGAATTCGTCACTACAGCCAACTACTGGAGCGCGCGCTTAAGCACACACCCTCTAGTCGGCGGTATCAGTAATATCGAGTATGGCTGGAGCGACGCCATCATTAACAACGCACTGGTAACGGCTATCAATGAACAAACCGTGGGACCGGCAACTGGGCGCCAGCGCTCTAACTCAAGGCCCGGAAGCAGCGCCGCCGGAAACCCTCGACCTAGTATGTCGAGCTTCCGCTCAGCTGCTTCACTCGACCACGGCTCCGGAGGCCCTTATAGCTCAGCCAGCCGCGGCAACAAGTTGCCTGGTGACAGGATCCACGTCGCCGAGTGGGCGCCACCAACACAGAGCATGCGGCCCAGTAACCTACCAGAAGAGGAGCAGCTCGAAAGTCTCCTTGCCTACGTCAAGGGCATCGAAGATGACCTTCAGACGCACAATCAGCTTCGTAGCCCGATGTTGCTCGCCTTCACACCCCGCGGCAACAACGCCGTTCGCGCCATGGCCAACTGGGAGCGCAAGAGTGCCTACCTCCTACGGGAGATTGTCAAGTTCAGGACATATGTCGACTGCTTGCAACAGGCTGAAACGCGCAAGACTGAAATTTACGGAGAGAGAGATTTGGCTCGCAGAGCCGCGAGGGGAGAGTTGGATGAGGGAGAGATTGAATTCGACGTCGAACGAGACACGCCAATCAGGACTTAGATGGACTTGGTGCATACACTATGCTACGGAGAACGAAGACGGGGTTGTTTGGCAGGGAAAACATGAGCAGTTCACGCGCGCGCAGAGAGCCGAGCCCACGACGATATGACCACATTGGACTCTAGGAGTTTGAGTTTGGGTGGGCGTCTTTTGGGTGTTGGTTTTGGCACACACATCATCTTTTGTTTTGTCTTTTCTTTTTCACTTCTTTTTATTTGTACAAACATAGTTTGATACCCAGACTTTTGTCAACGAGCCCGCTCCCACGAGGTTGTCTACCGTTCGACGGCAGGGAGCCGCGGGGAAGGGGCTTTTTTTTTCCCTCTCTTACTTCACAGTGGCTTCGGGTGTTTCTCTCATTCCGTCTGGGGGGAGATGTGCCTTGCCTTTATAATAGATAGGGAGGGGTTTCATCATGACACGGAGGTCCGGCGGTCTCGCTGAGCGAGGGAGTTTGCAAACACGTCACGGCACAAATCGGCCTTGCTCGCATTGGGAGGAATTGGCTCGTCTCTGATTAATGAGGTGTAAATAGTAATACGGAGCAGAAGGATAAGAAAAAAATATAACGGGGAAACAACATTGGTTTTGAAGATGGTTTTCTTCGCCCTGGTCTGATGTATGTGTCCGTGAATTGGGGAGCCAAGAATTTCTACTTGAAGAGACCGCCATTGCGTAGGGTTTGAACGGCTCCTCACTTAATCTCCTGTTGCCCATGTCAACAAATTTAAAGTGCCTATGGAGTGATATCATCTCACTATCTACTTGTCTCATTAGCTACGCAATGATCATTGAATCGACGTTCACCTCCTGGAGTTCATCCTATGTCAAATGAGTTACGTCCAATTGGTTGACACGTTCCCACCATCAGCATATTCCGCTATCCCCGCTGGGGGCGTGCGTGGGGCTCCCGGGGATGAATGAGCTGCTTGCTTGCTATTCTTTCACGTCATCCATCCACTCGGCATTCGGTATTTTTTACCCCACCATTTTGTCAACCTCCAACTCACAGCTCTCCGATCTTCAACTACCTTACCTACACTAGGTTTCTTGTATCTGAATTGCCAACCCGATTTATTATCTGAGAGACTCCCCGCGGTTTCGAGGATAATTTAACCAAAGTCCATCTTAGATTTTCTCAAGGGTAAGCTGAGTCTCTGTTCAAGCTAATAGGCCCCCCCCGCAGCGAAGACTTGCGGTCCTTTCACATCTCAACACACAGCGAAACTGATAAACTTGCTCTCCAGGCAACACACACACATATTCCTCAGGACTCGGAATTTCAAAATCCATGGATTCTTCACAAAGCGCCAGCTCCCTACCGCCCGAAGCAATCGCCCTCGCGGGACGAATGTACGACGCCGCGCGGAAAGGGGATCTCGCCATCTTCCGGCAGGCGTTGCCGGCTGGGTTGCCGGCGAATATGACGAACGAGAAGGGTGATACGTTGGTACGTACTTAATGATTGCCCGTCCTCTGAAGAAGAAAAGAAGAAGAAGAAGAAGAAGACGGAGAAAAGTAGAAAAGAAAGAAAGAAAGAAACGCCTTAGTTTGATTGTGTTTAGAACGTTTTGCTAATTGGTGGTTTTGATTCTTGGAATGTCTAGCTCATGCTAGCTGCGTATCACGGACACGCGGACCTGGTGAAGTTGCTCATCCAGCACGGGGCCGATGCGAATCGGTTGAATGATCGGGGGCAGAGTCCGCTTGCTGGGGCGGTGTTTAAGCAAGAAGACAAAGTTATCGAGGTTCGTTCCAGTTTCTGTTGTGTTGTTGTTTCCTGTCTTTACCGATTGAACTTATCGGCCTCTCATCCCGGCGCCCGGTTCCCATGGTCAATATCACTATCACTTTGCGGGAAGATTTTGCATCTAACACCGTCGACGTTAGGTTCTCCTCGAAGGTGGCGCGGATCCCGACTTTGGGGCTCCGAGCGCGCTGCAGTGTGTTGCTATGTTTAAGCAGGAGGACAAGTGGCAGGCTAAGTTTGAGGCAGCGAGTGGAAGGGGTAAAGCTGTTGCGCAGGAGTGAGAGGTTACTAGTATGACTTAACAATGATACCACGCTTCGATCTGTATGATGAAACAATTCAAGGCTCAGATTGAATTACTCGCGTTGAGTTTTCAATCGATTCCTCGTGCTGGTAGTATTAAGAAGGATCCAATAGAGGGCTCGTGAAAGTCGTGGTTTTTAAATCAAGCGAAGTAGTTCCCAGTCAATGAATGCGCTATAGATCAAATAGGCGTGGAAGCCCATTTTTGCCTCCAATACTTCAAGAATTTGCTGGGGCCTCTTCTCTCTAGAGAAGTAGAGCTTCTTCGCATTTAACTTACTTAAATGATGGCTACGAAGCAACGTACTTCATTATCCCTGCAAAGGTTTCTGTCCATACACAACATGACTAAAAGGGAGACGAATCGTAAGCAGCATTCCCAAGCCAACCAGAAAGACGGTCACGGAAAACTCACTGGTCAAACATGGCGTGGAACAGCCCCCGCTTCAACTCCTCCCTCACACCCTCCAACATGCCCAAAACATCCTCCTCCGTCCGCTCCAACACCCCACAAAACAGCCTTAGAGTAAACCCCTCTAGTCCATTAAGAAGTTGACACAAATTGTGCATACCCACGTCCTTGAAGTGAGGGTCCTTGGGCCATGACCCAATCGGCGCCTTGAACCTCTTGTGCACCACGTTCCGGAACCCGGCCTCGTTGACCCAGCCCTCGAGTTGCGGACCGGGACGGGCGGTGCGGCCGATGGATTCGCAGGCTTGAACGAAGTCTTGGTTCCAGGTGTGCGTGATGTATTGTGCGGTGTAGGTTCCGTCGTCGGAGTAGTAGAGGCCGTCCATGTCTTGGAATTCGACCCATCCGCCGGGGTTAAGATGTCTGAAAGGTATGGGGGTGTGAGCGAGGTGATGGTGATGTGGCGTTGTGAACTTGGGATATGGACGTACTCGTAGATATTTTGGACTAGTTTAGGCCAGTCTTGGATGGAGACCAGCATGTATCGGACAAAGATGTAGTCGAACATTCTGTTGCCCACCCACCGGCTTTCCACATCGTCGATTTCAAACTTTACGTTGTGAGGTACCCTGAGAATTGTCAAGTCGTCTGAGTTTTGTGATTGCCGACGGAAGGCTTACCATGGTGGTTGAACAGCGCTCAAATCAACACCAATGATCTGCTATGCGTCAGATGCAAGTTCAAGTCATTTGCTTCAACTTGAGTAAAGAATCATCTAATCGCATATTACCTCGGTGTTTGGGAATCTGTCACCCATTTCCACAGACCCTAAGCGAAGCATAGACTCAGCTGTCTGCTGGGCATGCTCAGCTTCTAGAAAAGGAAGCCTTACAGATCCCTGTCCCTGTACCGATGTCTAGTATTCTGTGCAAATTCTCTTTGAACAAGGGTGCCAAGTAGAGTTTGTAACCGATCGACTTGAACATGAGGCCATGAGCCATATCCATACGATCAAGTTCGGGCTGCGGAATCATTAGCAAGTTTGCATGCTCGGATCTGCGAAAGGTTCTGCCGAGTGACTGACATCATCATTTGGGAAGGCGTATACTTCATTCATGTATGTTAGCATTCATATTAAACATGTTTGTGTGAAGGGGCATGAGGGACGACTTACCACCTGCCCTGTAAGCGTGATATCGTCGTCCATACTCTAGAGGATAGTTGACAATGGATGAAGTCATTGACCTTGTGTATGTTGACCTGTTGAATCAGCTTGGACTCCCAATCTTCTAAGTCAGGAGGCTGTACATTTGTTCTTCCATAGAGGAAACACCGCTATCCGTCTGCGTCGTGCTGTCAGCGACATTGTTCTCAAATTGCAGCAATAGATATGAATGTCTCATTAAGTAGGCGAACCGCATATCCATCATCAGATGGGAGATCCGAGGCCTGGCCTGGACTGGGCCAATCAATATCCATATCCGACATTTTCTCTGGAAAATTTCATGAATCAGATCGAGTTGCTCAAGCTTCCCACGCAGAGCTGCGGCGTGAAATGGCGCAGTGCGGAAAGAATACAAAGGAACCAACTAACAGGTCCGGCCACAGGGGGGGAAACGCCGCTTTTTGAGGCCTTTAGAAGCGCCCATGTTGCCATAAAACCAATGCTACAGGGATTCGAGATTCAATTGCCGCAATTGATTGGTGAAGTCGAGTGATCACAACCCGCTTGTTGGTGCAGGCACGGCGCAGGATGCAGAACACATTTCCAGATCGGGGACCATGTCACGCACAATTCCGCAACCCCGATCGGCTTTACTGATCAAAGAACACTTTGGTGTGTGTTGAGGAGTTGGCGGTTCACAGTCGACCCCATATCTGATCTGCTTTCCTACCCCTCTTTGCCAAGATCTTGCGAAGATGCGGCTAGCGAGCTGAGTTGAAATTATCTTCAGAGAGCTTCGCGACAGGCTTTTGACAAGTAGTCCGTGATTATGGGATTTTAGAAATTATACCATGAGATACTCAGAGTTTCTCATAGACTGCTGTGACCTCAACAACTGCTGGCCGGGAAGGCTCTTGGCAGGAGAGATTCAGTACGAGATACATGATCAAAAATTGTCCCACGAAGTAGAGACGTGCGAGAAAAAGCCCACCATCTATGATTTATCGGCACATAAAACACAAAGAACGCTAAATTCAATTGCGTTAGTTGTGCCATGAATTAAATTACACAAACATATCCACAGCAGTTGCGGGAGGGTGACGAGTTTCAACCAAGATGATGGTTTTTAACGAGACTCGGTCATGAACTCTGGGTAAAGTACCTTGGTGAAGAGGCCAACTGTACAAAGTGGCACTTTTATCTCTCCCGAGAACTCTCTCTTGAATTCGGAAAGTCTTCGCGGGATGTAGACTACTGTCATTCGAACCTCTTTCAATGCGATGCTAAAGTTCGACATCTTGACATAGTATTGTATCGCACTTTGATGCCACATTGTGACTATCATTTCCTCTTTTTCTCAACTTCACTTTCCCGAAGCTGTCCACATAATCCAATACGAATTTTTGAAGGTTCGTAATCTTAGATAATATCTGTTCGCAGCCTCAAAACTGAAGATATTTTACGAGAACATCGCAAATAAACCTAGTTTTACCCTTCAAGGTACATTGACAAAGGACAAAAACAACGTACATCGTGAATGTCTTCAAGGCGACATGTTTCCACAGCCGACAATGGACCGCGAGGAAGGAAGTATACAGCAGTAAACCTCTTGGCCTCGAAGCGCCACATTCCGCATACGAATCCACCACCAGCTGAAAGCGCAGCTGGCGACATAAAACTCGATGAAGGTTTGATCCTCGAAATATTTGCTGTAGTGGTATCTAAGACTAACCAAGCCATCCTCGTAATCTCCCCATAACATGTACTTTAAGACTTGCCAGCCCTCCATCTAGTATCTCGCATGGCTCAAGAACCTCTGAGGTTAAGGTAGCCATTAACATAAGAAAGCGTCGCAAGCCGCGATGATCGCCGCGGGGCGCTGTAGCCTGCACTACACGTTTGAAAAATATCCTAGCGAATAAGGAAAGCCACAAGCATCCGTAGTCTTGCGGTGAAAAGTCAAATGGGTAGATCCAGCAGCGTACGCGTGAATTTGGGCTTGGCTTTCCACGAATCAAACATCTTGGCAAGGTGGCTTAAAAGGTTATTTTTCCAACGTCACCCAGAACTACACTGCCTTTTTCGAACGTCATCATATTTTTGTCCCACTCAGTAGGTGGCTAGGAATAGGGAGATATGCATTCATTTTAGTTCTACTCATGAATGTAATGTGGCACAGCTCTGTACGGATGCCATGAAGACTTCCCAGTCGATGCTCATAATTAGGTTTCTATTTCGCTCAAATCGTCTGGAAATCGATATACAGTTCTTACGTATCTCTCTAGCACCCACGAGGTCAGTGATTTAACCCTAACTCTAGCTTCCACGTCACCCCTGTATTATCAAACCATTCTTGAATGGCTGTTATGGCTTCTTTGTACTCAAGCATGACCGTTTCCTTTGGCGCGAACGGCGGAGGTTTGTCCCAGGCGTGCTTCTCAGCCTCGACGACACGAGTGCTGACCCGGCGTCCGCGGGATCTTACTCTTTCCGCAAAGGCCTGTCCCTCCAATAGCAACATGTCATGCTCGCACATGCACAGGTGCACTGGTGGCAGGCGATCTATCATCTCATCTGTCATGAGACCAGGCGAGAGGCGCGGATCACCACGTTCGGACCTTGGTCTCGGGGGATATATGTACGACGCATCGAAAAGGTCAGTCATGCCTTTCGGAAGAGTCATTTCTGGCTTTCCACATGTCTTGCGCTTCTGGGGCCTAGTCATGGTCCAATCCAAGAGCGGGTAGAACAAGACTATGCCGGAGATGTCGGGAACAGGTGGTTTAAATTTGTATCCCCACCGATCAGGGTCCTGGAGAATGTTCCAACTGGCAAGGGCCAGTGTGCCTCCAGCCGAGAAACCCGACAACACGACCTTGTTGATGTCGATACGGAATTCTTCGGCACGTGCGACGATCTGAAGAATAGAGTCGGCGGAGTCCTCCACCGGTGTGGGGAAAGGGTACCCCGGGGCCAGGCGGTAGCTCACGGAGAAGACGACGGCATTGAGGGCCGCGGCCACGGCGCCAGCCCAGCGGGCATCATCAGTGCCCTGTCCGAGGATGAAGCCCCCGCCGTGGAAGTTGATTACCGCAGGGATCTTGCCGGTGGGTTTACTGGAGGAGTTGGTGGGAGGAAGATAAACATCGACCCTGATCTTCTCCTTGCCGGCCCACTCTGAGAGCGTAGAATCTAGCCAGATGACTCTATTCGCAGCCGGTGGGACGGGAGCGGATAGGTTCTGTAGGCCGAAGGCAAAAGCGGCCCCCGAGCGTAGGGCAACGGCATTGGCCGTCAAGCGCCATCGCGCGATATTCTCGAGTGGATTATCGTACTCATCGTCGGAAGCGCCGGCTATGCTACTGGCGACGCTATTGGCCTTGCTCGCGGCCTTACTCTCAGCCTTTCGTTCTTTCCTACTGGCTCTACTCTCTTTGGAGACGTTGGAGATGTTGGAAATGGTGCGAGTAAGCTTGCTCTGTAGCATCGGGAACGCGGACTGCGCGGAGCGCGTGCGGGAGTCAGGAGGATTAAGCTAGTGGGTATTGGTAAGGCTGGCAGGCAACAACGAGGGGCGATCGGACATTCAGACGGACAATGAATCAAATGTCTCAAAGGTTGCGAGCGGTGAGAGGGTCAGGTAAACAGTGGTATACCGGGTGTGTCGGAACGGGTTCGATTGATAATAGGTCGAGGGGATGAGAAAGAGGGACGGAAGAGATGGGAGGATGGGAGAGAATGTGACAAATCAAGGGTGCGCAAGGAATCTTCGGGATGCGTCGTTGAGCAAAGGCTGTGGTCTGTAGAGGGCTAGAGGCTGCAAATGAACGGCAAAGGTGTTCCGCTGGCGGGAAGCTAAGGATCCCGGGCGGGTTGGAGGAAAAGCATCAGGTGTCGTTAACGTTGAGGGAGGGTTCTCTTGGCAGCGGTGCCTTGCCTTGCCTGGCTTGGCTTGGTGTGACTGATGTAATGTACGGATACGTAGTGAGGTATGTATGTACTGTGTAGATGTGGCCGGTGTGGCTCAGGTAAAGATCGATAGGTAGCTGTGGCTGAGTTTGACGTCGTGGTGATGGAGCATGTTCGGTCGGACGGGGCGAATATCAAGGCAGTGTCTCTGTACGCGTGTTTAGGGGGTTTGGAAGACATGCAAACCTGAGACGAAAGCAAACAATCACAAAGGAATAACATCAGCCGAGGCGGCAGGCTTGGTGTGAAATTCCAAGGCAGGGAAGGAGGGCATCGAAATGGGATGTCATAATGAATATGACACCACCAAAAACGAGTAAATGGCAGCTGCGCTTGCGGCACAAGTGTGTGTGAGGTGAGGTCAAGGTGAGGTTGAATGAAGGACAGGAGGGACTGCCACGGTGGCTAGTGAGGCGGCAACTTTCACTCGGGAGGTGTGCCGAGGTACTTTGACGTCATTTTTGGGCCGTTTTTAGGCCATCTTGGTGCGGGTGTGGGGCCGTCGTTTCCGGGATGCCGGAGCCAACTCACCCTATTCTATGTACACAGTATACTACACTTGAATCCCTATTACCTTTTGTCTTCCTGTCTTGATTCCAGATGATGCTAGAAGCCTGACCAATGGGACCATCTTTTACGCAGCAGACAATGTTCTACATCCTGGTCCGGCACTGCTTCCATGAGTCGATATTGCCATGGTGACCCCGACAAGCAGCCAAGCACCCTTGTAGACGGGAAGGAGCGGACCTGCTTCTGGGACGATCCCCGGAGCAAACGGTCCACGAGTGACCATAATATCTACCTTAGGGTATGTGGGTACCTACTACCTTAAGGTGAGATATGGAAGAAGTGTGTCAGCCGCGCAGAATTTCGGAGCCGATGTCCGTGACTCTGCCGGCTTCTATGCCATTTGCAACCAAATGCTCTTTCCTTTCCCCAAGCTCCCTTCCTCGACAAGCCTTTAATTCATTAGGTAAGGTATCCGGTACTCTGCACCTTCCATGCCTCAGAAGACAAACCATACGTACCTGAAGTATCCTGTGGCCCCACAGCCAATGACGTCCCGCTGACACCACAAGGCCGAAGCTTCCTCGAGGAAAGAGAGGAAACTTCGACGGGGATTGGAGCTCCAAAGAATGGAAAGAGACGGGACGATTCCACTCAGTCTCGACCCACGGCCGCTCTTGGGCCGCTCTTGTCCGATGCGATGCATTGCGATGAGATCGATGGCCTTGTATCCCCACCTTACCTGCACTTCCACTCGCACCTGTACTTGCAGCGTCAGGCGTCATGTTTTCGGCAAACTTTTCTTTCTCGCTCCTTCTGTTCGTAGACCCCCCCTGCTCACCCGTAG